TATAAACACTTTGATATAATTTGTCATTATCTGTTAATATTGTGATACATATTTTGTCCTTGTGTATAAACACTTTGATATAATTTGTCATTATCTGTTAATATTGTGATACATATTTTGTCCTTGTGTATAAACACTTTAATATAATTTGTCATTATCTGTTAATATTTTGTGATACATATTTTGTCTTTGTGTGTAGTATAGTATATCTAAACAATAAGGGTAATGCTGATGTATATTTTGATGTTGTGAGTTATGCTATATTATACCGTGACCATGAGGGTTATGCTGATGTATATTGTGTGGCTGTGAGTTCATACTATAGTATACCGTGACCATAAGAGTTATGCTGGTGTATATTGTGTTGTTGTGAGTTATACTATAGTATACCGTGACCATGAGAGTTATGCTCATGTATATTGTGTGGCTGTGAGTTATACTATAGTATACCGTGACCATGAGAGTTATACTGATATATATATTGTTGTTGTGAGTTAACTATAGTATACCGTGACCATAAAGGTTATGCTGATGTATATTTTGTTGTTGTGAGTTATACTATAGGATACCGTGACCATGACGGTTGTGCTGATGTATATTTTGTTGATGTGAGTTAATACTATAGTATCCCGTGACCATGACGGTTATACTGATATATATATTGTTGTTGTGAGTTAACTAAAGTATATCGTGACCATAAAGGTTATGCTGATGTATATTTGGTGGTTGTGAGTTAATACTATAGTACACCGTGACCATGACGGTTATACTGATATATATATTGTTGTTGTGAGTTAACTAAAGTATATCGTGACCATAAAGGTTATGCTGATGTATCTTTTGTTGTTGTGAGTTATACTATATTATACCGTGACCATGAGGGTTATGCTGATGTATGTTTTGTTGTTGTGAGTTAAATATAGTATACCGTGACCATGACGTTTATGCTGATGTATATTATGTGGTTGTGAGTTAACTATAGTATATCGTGACCATGACGGTTATGCTAATGTATATTTTGTTGTTGTGATTTAATACTATAGTATACCGCGACCATGACGGTTATGCTGTTGTATATTTTGTTGTTGTGAATTAATGCTATAGTATACCTCGACCATGAGGGTTATGCTGAAGTTTATTATGGTCTTTTGTGTAAACGGTACATTTTTATACGCGCGTCGAAGAGGGGGACGTATTATTTTATCCCGTGAGCGGGCGGGCGGGCGGTCGGGCGGTCAGGCAAACGATGTCCGCTCGATATCTCGAGTAATTATTAACGAATTAACTTCAAACTTCACAACAAGCTTAATTATCATGAAAGCTCGGACAAGTTGGATAACTGTCATTATCAGACCATAATTTGTGGAGTTATGGTCCTTTATGGACTTGCCGAAACAGTGTCCGCTCGATATCTCGAGTAATTATTAACGAATTAACTTCAAACTTCACAACAAGCTTAATTATCATGAAAGCTCGGACAAGTTCGATAACCGCCATTATCCGACCAAAATTTGTGGAGTTATGCTCCTTTATGGACTTGTCGAAACAGTGTCCGCTCGATATCTCAAGTAATTATTGTATACCGTGACCATGACGGGTATGCTGATGTATATTTTGTTGATGTGAGTTAATACTATAGTATATCGTGACCATAAAGGTTATGCTGATGAATATTTTGTTGTTGTGAGTCAATACTATAGTATACCGTGAGCATAAGAGTTATGCTGGTGTATATTGTGTTGTTGTGAGTTATACTATAGTAGACCGTGACCATGACGGTTATTCTTATGTATATTTTGTTTTTGTGAGTTAATACTATAGTATACCTTGACCATGACGGTTATGCTAATGTATATTTTGTTGTTGTGATTTAATACTATAGTATACCGTGACCATGACGGTTATGCTGATGTATTTTGTTGTTGTGAATTAATGCTATAGTATACCTCGACCATGAGGGTTATGCTGAAGTTTATTATGGCCTTTTGTGTAAACGGTACATTTTTATACGCACGTCGAAGATGGGGACGTATTATTTTATCACGTGAGCGGGCGGGCGGGCGGTCGGGCGGTCGGGCAAACGATGTCCGCTCGATATCTCGAGTAATTATTAACGGATTAACTTCAAACTTCACAACAAGGTTAATTACCATGAAACCTCGGACAAGTTCGATAACCGCCATTATCCGACCATAATTTGTGGAGTTATGCCCCTTTATGGACTTGCCGAAACAGTGTCCGCTCGATATCTCGAGTAATTATTAACGGATTAACTTCAAACTTCACAACAAGGTTAATTACCATGAAAGCTCGGACAAGTTCGATAACTGTCATTATCAGACCATAATTTGTGGAGTTATGGTCCTTTATGGACTTGCCGAAACAGTGTCCACTCGATATCTCGAGTAATTATTAACGGATTAACTTCAAACTTCACAACGAGGTTAATTACCATGAAACCACAGACAAGTTTGATAACCGCCATTATCCGACCGTAATTACTGGAGTTATTACCCTTGGTTTCATTAATGCGATGCATGCGTTCCATGATGTTGTATTGCACTCATTGATCTACCAGTTATGTTAAATGATTTCTCTTTTAATATCAATTACTCACAAATACTTCATATATTTCAATCATACAAACAACTGCTCATTCAATGTGTGACGGGCGTATTATATACCGCTCGCGGTAACCTTGTTTTTCTTATTTGTTTATATTTTCAAAGTTCACGCACATTTCACTCATGATCTCTACCAGCATCATCATCACTCACGCACATATCACTCATGATCTCTACCAGCATCATCATCACTCACGCACATATCACTCATGATCTCTACCAGCATCATCATCACTCACGCACATTTCACTCATGATCTCTACCAGGATCATCATCATCACACACGCACATATTACTCATGATCTCTACCAGGATCATCATCATCACACACGCACATATCACTCATGATCTCTACCAGCATCATCATCACTCACGCACATATCACTCATGATCTCTACCAGCATCATCATCACTCACGCACATATCACTCATGATCTCTACCAGCATCATCATCACACACGCACATTTCACTCATGATATCTACCAGTACAATCATCACACAGGTCACAGACACAATAACGTTTTCATTGACGTTTTCCTCGTCTACGTTTTCATAACAATAATTCAAAACAACTTACCTGAATCAACCTCCCTGCTGCTCACATGATTCACAAAATCATTATTCCTAGTCGAGTAAATATCGAACCTGATTTCCTCGTAACCGTTAAGCGATAGCGTACCTAGACCATTATCTAAAACCTGAAAATGTTACACGGTTAAGGTCAGGTTGTAATACTTCCGTGGCCAGCTATGTGTCCCTGGACGCCACGTGTTGGGCGCTTGTGATGTAAAATAAATGTGGAGAGCAACGATTGAATAACTCTTTCAAGTGCCTGTCGACGGAGGAGTAATTATAGGGTGAGAGGCAGGGAGTCGGGGTCCGGAAATCAAGTGTCAGGAGTTTGGTTACACAACATGGACAGTTCCTGCGTCGCCTCAGTGTATTTGCGTGACTGTATCTGTTACTATTTTCTTATGTATTTTCTTTCTTCTATTTACTCGTTATATTACCTGTGTGATACTCGTTTAATTACCCGAGTAAAACTCGCTACATGTACATACTCATTATATTACCTGTGTGATACTCGTTTAATCACCCGAGTAAAACTCGCTACATGTACAAACTCATTATATTACCTGTGTGATACTCGTTAAATTACCCAATAAAACTTGCAACATGTACATACTCATTATATTACCTGTGTGATACTCGTTTAATCACCCGAGTAAAACTCGCTACATGTACAAACTCATTATATTTCCCGAGCAATACCCATTTACTATCTGTGTAACACTAGTTATATAACCTGGATAATACTCGTCATATAACGTATGTAATACTCATTGTATGGCCTGAGGAATAATCATTATATTACCTGTGTATACTCCTTATATTACATTGGTAATACTAGTCATAATACCTGTGTAATACTCATTATATTACATGAGCAATACTTATTATATTACCTGGGTATACTCCTTAAATCACATTGGTAATACTCGTCATATAACTTATGTAATACTTATTATATGACATGGCGATCGCTCGACATCAGGGCCAACACCGAGGTTATGCCCAATAAGGCGTTGTGAAGTGGTTAGAACGGAGAGGACAATAGAAAGGTCCTGATATTTCCGTAGTTGCAGCAGAATTATTTATGTCGCTTTTGCGTCTCCGAGTAAAGAGCACAAGAGCAAATCCCTGATTATGTAGGGGACTCCCCACACAAGTCGCCTCTTATGCCGGGGATCGCCTCCACGCGACAGCCAGGGTCATATGAGGCCGGGTTCCAAGGGAGACACCGCCGGAAAGTGAGGGTAGATAGGACAGAAATGAAGACATGAATGTTAAAAAAAACCTAAAGATTCCAAGTGTTAAAGTGGGACAGCAAATCACTGTTGGTTTCTTCAGTTGTTCCCAATCAGAAGAGAAGGCAGAAACCACGCCCGTTTCTGCAGGGTGGGGTAGGGGCATATTAGTCGCCTATTACGATCATGCAGTGGGAAATAGCAGGCCTATATTCCCAACACCTGTACGGGGTTGCGATGGGTATCACCTGTTGTTATATTTTTTTCTCTGTCCTTTTGTTACCTAGTACCATATATATAAACTTTATTTATCTAACAACAATTATGAAACAATGTTTTTCAACTTATACTAATCACTTTTGTTTGCCCGGATGTTAGCGCGCGGGGTCTTACTGTGGGAGGAAACTGGAGTACCAGGAGAAAACCCACGTAGTCGGGCAGGTGACCCAATACCTTTTCACGTCTGATCGGGGAATCGAACCCAGGTCGCCTTGGTGAAAGGCAAGTGCGCTATCCACTGCGCCACCCGACCACCCTATAGTACACATTGATGTCTTGACAACACGGTTGTAACAATCCTAACAAGTCCATTGTATGTGGTCCCACTCGGTGTCGGTTAATCTGCCACAGTCGACTCCCCTCGTAGATAACAGGGGGCGTCTTCCCTCGTCTGATCTGACACATTTTATATAAACAAATATTGATTAAACAGGTAATACTTCTCACCTCAGGTAGCGAGAACTACCCGTGATATAGATAATAATTCCTCCCTGGTCAAGATATAGATAATAGCGTTACTGTAGCGGATGGTTGTTTACTGCTCAAGGTTTGGAGTAAACTCGCATTGTTTCTAAGTCAACTCTTCGTTAAACATCTAAAATGGCATCAAACACGTGAAACCAGTGCATATCTTATCTAAACCGGTTATTGTACAGTGTAACCACCCCATCAGGTGTTGAGAGAAAAACTAGACATGCCACAGTGTGTATATCCCACTGTGCTATCGTAAGAGGCGACTCCTGTGAGACCACTACAGGGTCTGAATCTTCTATGTCCTCTGCCTCAGAGACAATTGATCTGCTGCCCCAATCGGAACCTCGACCTGGTTTCCTTGGTTACTTATTCTTTATTTTCGGTGGTGACCATTAAGGTACCCCTCGTCCACAAACTGTTACTTCTGTTTACGGGAAGGTTAGGGCTTGACCCCCACAAATAAAGTAATGTAGTTTTAATAATACCAGCTAATACGTTCTTGATTTTCTTTTTATGCTTATCGGAGTGGAATATGGCCATTTGCTTCCTGGATGATCCTGCGTAGAGGGAGGGAGTGATTGGTTCGGGGGAAATGAATACTCATGTTTCCCTATAGCAAGGGCGATATTTATTTTATATATATAAATTATATCACCAGAACGAAACAATAAATAAACAGTTAAGATTAGATAATGACCCTTTGAAGCCTTTTTTATTGTTTTACTGATTTTTCAGGCTTTAAATATGTACCAACAGAGTTCCGAGACAGATACTCAACAGGGAAAATAGATAACAGGATGTTCGCTCCCCTACGTGAGATTCGGTGTGTTTTTCATGGTCATATGACAAGTTTGAGCAGTAAACGGTTGACTGCTCAAACTTATCATATGACCCTCATCGTTACATCGACGAAGCATAGAAACAGAGACGTATATATTATTGCAATATATACGTCTCTGATAGAAACAACTGTTAAGGTCTCTATGTTTGTACTCCTTTGCCTATTCGTTGTTTTCGGCTTTGTTTCCGTAGGCATACGTCTTCGCGTGACCATAGCTGTTGGAATACGTTAAATTTCGGGGAAACAAAAACAGAAAAAAACGTGTAAATAATCACAAAAGCTGCAATTTTTAAACTTCAGGCTCATATCACATCATATTACACCTCACCTTTAGAACAGCGTGTCTGATTGGGAGATTGTCTCTGCTTTTGTGTTTGTGCTTGTTTTATTTTTTTCAACAAAAACAAATATGTTTTGCCCTTAAAGTAGGAAATCACGACTCTTCGTTTCTCCTCAATTAATATTGTTTCATCCTAATATTTCACTCGCCTGCATGATTAACCTCAGGGCAACAAAAAGTCGTGTTTCCCAACAATAAATGTACAGTGTTTTTATTGTATTATATTTTGTTTTTGTCGTTTAAAGGACCATGCAGACTAATGCAATATATTTAATTTGTGTGTTGAAAGAATTTATTTTGTTTTGTTTATGTTTCTGTATAGTTCATCTTTCGTGAACGATCATCCGTTAGAAATTTGGCCACGGATGTATCGAACAGTTCGGCATCGTAGCTAGTTTTGAAAACTGTTACCGTCAAGATTCGTTTCCTTCAAATATGCATGGAAGACGTACACTGTGTGCTCAGCGGCCTTTTCTAAACCCCCAACGGTGTTAAATTACTGTAATACCTTAATCTAGGTCCAAATAAAACTGTAACAAATACCCAGGTCCCTGTGGTTTTCTCGTTACATTCTCTGTAACGACGGCGCTTGTCGTATGACACTGGATTAAATTGACAAAGCCTTTATATATTAAACCGTGTTACGGGAACTTCATATGAGCGTTTGACGATGATGCCAAATTTGTTATTTATATTTGATGATGCATATTTCGTCACGGAATGGAAGCTTTTATATATCATCCATTATTTTACTCTGAGAGTTCCTTGTTTGATATTTACTATTACAGTGTACCTATGTTCGCCCTCAGCATCCTGCTAATGGTGTTGCTAGGAAAACGGCTATGCATGGTTGGGAGATTGATATGTGTCATTGTTTTTTCTCACCCACCTTATATATCCAATCATAATACTCACATATTTATATTGTTTATTTTTTAAACCAATAATAGCTACAGCTTCATCGAACAACGGGTAATACTAATTAATGTATTGCTTCGATGAGAAAAGCAATATCATAATAAAGTCTCACGTTATCTCGTCACCAACGTGCTTTTGACGTTTTGACACGTGATTTGTGTGTTCTAAGTTTTGTTTATTTACTATAACACAGTGACCCAGTCATGCTTCTTATACATATGCTCGTATAATTTAACGAGTTATCATATTTTGTGAGGTGACAGCAAGTTCGGTGAACCCTGTCGACCTCTCTAACTGCCTGACTTAGAGATCGGAACCTGTCCCCCGGGGCCGCGCGACGGTGATGGATCACGTGACGAAATGCTGCACTACACCACGTCGTCGCCAGCGGCCAGCGGAAGTAGCTCTGAGGGCGAGGCCGTCTCAAAAGTCAAACAACGTAATCCAAGGCATGTCGAGTCCATAAAATCATCTCTATCCAGCATAAATATTTAGTTTCTATTTAATAACTGTAATTCATTTGTTTTTTCTCTGAATTACGAAATAAAACCTCGATACAACAAAAAATAAGGGGAAACATGGTAAATTAGATATTAGAAATAATTCCTTCGGCTACGAAACTGTCTTCCTGAGGCGATCATACAGGCTTCAACAATTAAAGACGTTGAAGTTAGTTTGGACAATCATTGGAAACATCTTGAACTGAAATTTAATCACCTAGCTAGCTAGAAATCTAACAAAGGGAGTGATTTTGAATTAAAATTGTTATATGATATGGACATTGAAACAAGTAATAGACTGCGTCCATCATGCGTCCTCTTAAATCCTTTTAAATAATGAATGTCCTTTAATTTGCCATATCGTTTACCAGCAAATTACTCTAGGTACCCTTTTCTATAACTCCCTCGGCTATGCATCGGTAAACCTTTCTATGAAGCCAGAATATCGCTGGACAAATGGTAGAAGTAAAGCGAGGTTTTACTGAGTGTGCAGCTTTATAACGGCGTTCTAAGATATCCACAGAAGACAGTGTAAGTAGAAAATGATACCCCTCTTTCAACTTTTGTAGGGAAAACAGAACACTGCCTTATTAATGACAACCACACGTGTACAGTAAACGTAACTGTAGACATAGACGTTGGAGAGAACGTTGCAAACAAATCAAGTCAGCAATATTATATTACGGAAATGTCTTTTGAGACGGTCCCCGACCACTGGCCAGCCATACCTGTCAGTGGGGTGTAGCGAACAAAACTTCCCACGAGAAAGTATAGCATGGTGACATTAGCGGATTTACTGTCTGTTTCTCTGTGTTTTCTTTGGATTTTTAGGACGTTATCTTTAAAATGGTAAGTGTGTAATAAACCACATGATGAAATCAAAAACTGTCTATATTTAGGGAATCGATTTTTCTTCTTAGACCCCCGTTGTTAATACAATATATGACATATATTGAATTCTGTTATAATCCGAAACCCGGAAGAGAACATTTTTCAATCATCTAGAATATAGGAGATGTATAACAATTTCTAGTTTCTACACATCTAGCGCGATACAATTACAGGTATATAATAAGGGTAGTTTGACATTTCGGAGTATTTAAAAATAAAAATAAAAGGGAACGAAAACAAGGATCGAACTCGAAGCTAATCCCCGTATTTTAGTATTGCTTCCCGTCTCTCAGATGTGTTTTCAATTCGTGTGTATCAATCGTGTCATCAAACATTTAATAACATTATAGATTTTCTACGAAAACTCGAGGCCAAATCCAGTACTTTACCAGTTTTGCTTCCCATGAATATGATATGCCTAGACTCTAAATAAGAGCTGAATGGCGTGACAAGGGAAATATCTCTAGGCAAGAAAAACACAAGTTGAGGTTTAATCTTCGATATTTGACATTCAAAGGAGCATGTTTAAAGTCGGAAAAACCGAGAGTTCTGATGTAGAACCTCTTTTCCTCGCCAATATAACCGATGTAGTTGTTTCATTTACCCGATTAACAAAAAATAAATAAATCAATAAGTGGGTAGGGTCCAGGTGTCTGTCATGTTGAAATAACTTTCATTTGGCTAAATATTGCACATTAAACATTTTATTAGAGTTATCTCCCTTGAAAATTCAATTTACGTCACCTAAGAATTCATGCTGTCATTTACACCTATAAGTATCACGTGTGTCGTCAACTATTGTGCATCTTTCTCCAATGTGTTATCAATGCTTATCTATTTCGCAAAGGTGTCATCAATTCCTCAGTAACGTTAGTTTATAAATCTTGATTTTAAATTTGTTCTCTCTTATCTCAAAGAGATTCAATGTATCAGGTTCTTGTTCTTATAAAGTGTACCTAGCACATTTAGCATGTCTTGTAATTAATGAAATTTAATAAGTGTTAATACAACACTCTGTATTGGTCTATTACGTAATTCTTTTCGAAAGGAGATATATTTTCAGATAAGGTTACATATCTCTTTAACAATATCAATTAACTAGTACGTTATCAATGGTCAGTTATTTGGCCACTCCTATAGTTGATACTGAATTCTCCACCTTTCTTTTGACTGGTGACCCGACGGACACTCCCGGTATTGTTCCTATTAACGCATTACAGGGATTGGTCAACGTGACGCGTTAATGAGTGACGTCATTTAGTTTGTACGTAGAGATGACACTAACAAAGTAATACACGTAAATTGTTTGTTCGTTATCTGCTGGTTTCGTTTCGTTTGTTTGATGTTTTTTTTTTTCTTTATTATATTTAATTTATAATGATGTCAACTTCAGACGCACATGCGGGTCGTGGAGTGGTGTCGGGGTTGGAGTAGTGTCGGGGATGGGGTGGGGTGGTGTCGGGGATGGGGTGGAGTGTCGGGGATGGGGTTGAGTGGTGTCGGGGTAGGGTGGATTGGTGTCGGGGTTGGGGTGGGGTGGGTGGAGTAGTGTCGGGGGTTGGGGTGGATTGGTGTTGGGGTGGGAATGAGTGGTGTCGTGGGTAGGATGGAGTGGTAGTCAAACGTCATATGCATGTCTACATCAGGAAGATTCACCGATTTTAGGTTTATTAGTGTGATTTGTTGTCGATGCATTGATTCCAATGATCTTATAAACCATCTTACAGGTGGTTTGAACTCATTAAAATGTAGTAAAACTCAACAGGTAGCACAATAGTGCTGCTTTTGCGGGACGATCTGCCTTTTCATTACCTGGTATTCCCACATGTCTGGGAACCAGGCATAATGTAATTTGACATTTTGGGACAACCTGCTCATACACCGAGACCTAACTGAGACTAGGGCCGCTTTCGTTTATCGCGATCCAGACGGTTTAACCGGTTGGACCAGAGTTGTTCGTTTATGAAATAAGGTCGGACCTGCTTGTTTTCATGCGAGCCTTGACAAAACTTTGTAAGGCCGACATAAACATTTGCAGGTCTGCCGGATTTATACCCGAAAATGTTACATTTAAAACCAGACAAACCGGTTGTTCCGTATAAACGAACAGTCCCTATATAGAGCTGCAGTGGAACTATAGACCTGGTGGGTGTGTCCGGACATATTTACGACCCCTCCGACAGCTCGGGCTGACCACTGACACATGTAACAGTACACCTGACCAGCGTAAATATGAATCATACGGCACTATATCCGCGGACATACAGCAGAGTATGTACATGTAAATGGTAGCGAGGGTCACACATATGTGTTTACAACGAGGTCCCTGTTCTCGTTACAACACAAAGTATAGAGAAACATATTTACAAGATAATTTACAATACACAAGTTATTCATTTGGTAAGTCACATAAGCACAATCTTATCAATATTATTCAAATCATTCATATCACGGAGGATAAATATTATTGTAAGGAATTTTCTTATAAATGTTAATATGCACCAGTGACGGTTGGTTATCATGTTTATCTAACTCAATTTTTTTATTTGTACATAGACACGAGGTTTACAGAGTGTCTTTTACAATTTGAAAATGTACAAACCAGAGTTAGATAAACATAATGATCAACCATCACGAGTTTGGGGACTTATTTCTTCTCTCACGAAAATCAGATATTATACCTAGAAAACCATTTATTTCTATTGGGAATATATTATTCCTGTTTGGGGAAACCACCGCCATGACCTATGACGTCACAAGTGCAGATGACGTCGCAAGGCATTGTTCCTTGACGTCATCGTTAGAAGATTGACCAATGAAATAACGTCCAACTAGGGGTTATCCTCCCAGGTTTATCCAACGATTCGGGAGTGGGAAACCCTAAAGTGGTTTTGGGAGAAATTCATTTACACGAGAATATGTATCTACTTATATGTATAGTAGCGTAAATCATAAAGTAGTGTATAGGTGCCAGCTTATAACATCTCACTACATTAGCATGTAAGTCCATCGTTCATAATGCCCGCATGTTATCTTTAACTCCGACTCGGTTTGTTGCTACAATGTCTGTATTGTAACTTTCAAGTACATGTAGTAACACTATAAAAACGATCCCTCTCGCAAATTCGGACATGCATGTATAAGCCAAGGGACATAGGACAAGTAATTAGCGCTTGATGATGCAAATGGAAATCCCATATTAAATTGTAATAATGAATTGTGTATTTATTGTAACGCATCATATAGCAGCTACATCACAGTTTTATACTTTATTTAATTGGTAGCTGTGGACCATTGGTTGACAGTAATCGAAAGTGAATACCTATGTTTCATTAATACTAAATAGAATTGAAAGAAACCGTCCCGTTCGCCCTCGTGAACCGTTCTGTGACCTTTCAGCGGAATAACACACTAAAATAGCCACTGAGTTACGTATATAACCTCTTTAATCGTGAAGAATCAAACCCGCAATGACACCCAATAATTCGATACAATATTTGACACGCTAGAAATTGTAATTGCAGTTTCTAATATTTCAGATATTGGTGGAAAGACTTTAGCAGTAGACAGGAAATACAGAACGGGCGACGAACGTACACGTGTGACGTGGATACAGGTTGGCATGGTAAACCATTAAGCGGGGCTAGCCATGTGATTGGGACAGAAATTGTTGATGAATTTTGAAGATTACCATTTTTACCTCAACCAGAAATAGATCCATGTGATGACAACCGACAATATGGCCGAACCTGCACTTCCGGGTAAGAATGCTACGGTGGTGGTCACAAGACTTCCAAGCGCAGGCCCGGGGAAACAGAACTTTCTGTTCAAATTACGTACTAACATGTTCGGCTTAACCACAGAAAAGTCTGGCTCTTCGACTGTTTCCCTTCTGTGGGTCTGATACGCATATTTCAAACTCAGTTTTCGGATGACTTTCAGTTGAAAATAAAATGGAATTAGGTTTTATTCTATTCTGGTTTTGTTTTCTATTTCAGAGTGCTCTCTTATAACAGAACTTCCAGGAACTAATGCCTCCCATCCTACACCGGATATTGTGTTAAGCACCGAACAAAGAATTGTGGGAACCTCAGTTGATATCACATGTCCAGAGGGTTACAATGTGATTGGACAAGATACGATCACGTGTTTAATATCGGGAAAGTGGGATGTAGATGCATTACCACACTGTAACGGTTAGTTTTTAAATGTTTTATTATGTTTGTTTAGTTGTCTGGAAGGCCACTAGTAGATAAATATTGTTAAGACATATTTACATGAGATAATTGTGCAAGGCGATGCTGATATAGGCCTCCTAAAACCTGTCTGACGGTAATGTGGACGGGGTCGTTTATATCTGCACCAACAATAAAACTCTTACAACAGGCTTTGTAACGTTACAACCAAGGCCTATTACAACCCCCATCCTCAAGAGAAAGGGAACTGTAACGGCCAGACCAGGGTTCGAACCCGGGATCCTTTGAACTCTAGACGGACGTTCTACCAATGCAATTGAGCTACCTGGTCGCCGACGATCGACCCAGTCCAGTTCCGCTACACAACCCCGTCTGGCTACAACATACTCTAGTTAAAACAACACATCTGGTAACAACCACCCATGACCACAACTTACCCCGGTCACAACAACCCATGACCACAACTTACCCTGGTCACAACCACCCTAAACCACAACTTACCCTGGTCACAACAACCCATGACCACAACTTACCCTGGTCACAACAACACATAATCATAACTTACCCTGGTCACAACAACCCATAGCCACAACTTATCCTGGTCACAGCCATCTTTGGTTGGACTTGGCCAGTTTCCTATTGATTGCCAGGTAGCTATATTGGTCAGCTCGTCTAGAGTTCTGAGATCTAACCCTGGTCACAACAACCCATAACCACAACTTACCCTGGTAACAGCAACCCATAACCACAACTTACCCTGGTCACAACAACCTATGACCACAACTTACCCTGGTCACAACAACACATAACCATAACTTACCCTGGTCACAACAAACCATAGCTACAACTTACCCTGGTCACAACAACACATAACCATAACTTACCCTGGTCACTACAACCCATAGCCACAACTAACCCCGGTAACAACAACCCATAACCACAACTAACCCTGGTCACAACAACATATGACCACAACTTATCCTGGTCACAGCCATCTTTGGTTGGACTTGGCCAGCTTCCTATCGATTGCCAGGTAGCTATATTGGTCAGCTCGTCTAGAGTTCTGATATCTAACCCTGGTCACAACAACCCATAACCACAACTTACCCTGGTAACAGCAACCCATAACCACAACTTACCCTGGTCACAACTATCCCTGGTTGGACTTGGCCAGCTTCCTATCGATTTCCAGGTATCTATATTGGTCAGATCATCTAGAGTTCTGAGATCCATGGTTCGAATCTCGTCCAGGTCTCGTTACATTTCCCCGCCCCTATTATAGGCCTATGTGTGTTTGATGTCATCAGTTTGTAAAATAAATATCTGATTTGTAAAAGATGTGCATTGATTAGGTTGCCTAACAAGCATTAGCCGTGGGGAATTTCCCCTTTAGCTCAGCGATAGAGCATCGGGCTGGAGAGCCAAGGGTCGCGGGTTCGAACCCCAGCGACGGCACTATCCTCATAACTATTCCTTGTCCCACATCCGATACTATAATTATGTTACAGACGTGGTGTACGGTATCCCTGACTCTACTAAGATCTACCTGGGAGTGTTCGCTATCTGTGGCGCCCTCTGTCTCATCGTCTTTACCGTAGTTCTCACAAAAATCATCTGCTTCAAGGACAAGAAGAAGTACTCGGACAGGTGAGTCTTTACCCCCNGGGGTCTAGTCAGGTTTACGATTTGGATGACCGAAAGATTCATGGTTATTTCTGCTAGCATCAAATTAAGGAAACTTTGATTTTTGTTGCAATTGAAACTAATGAAAGTAATTAACGACATTAGAATCCCGTTTGTACTTATACAGTAATACACCCGGTCGTAAATCAAGTATTTATTAGAAAACATTATGTCATAAAAAACAAATGTTGTTGAAAGGAATTCCACACCTCGCGCCCGTCGTTAAGGATGCGCATGTAAGGCTAGTTCCTAAGTTAATTTTCAAATATCGAAGAGAAAAACTCGCTGAGGATTGCTTTCTTCATGAAATCTATAAAATATCTCTAAATAGTTTAAACGGGATAAACGATCGTCGCTCCCCGTCGAACCTTTTTGTATTTACTGTCTCAAGATACATATCAAACAGACCCAAAGGGTTACAGCTGAACAATTGGTACCATGTTTGGCAAAAACTGAATTGTGATGAAAAATACCACCAAATATAGTAATAAAAAAAAATCAAGAAACTCACTCAGTGACAGAATAGTTACACCGTTATTATTTGATTTGTTTTCTTTTGTTTGTAGCAATTTCTTAGGTAGAAGTACGGAGTCAGTGTCATCTATGCAGTATTTCCCGGAAGAAAAACAGTATAGAGCTCCGACGCAACCGGAAGTGATAGTCATAGAGGAGCAACACCCATCGACTCCGCCACCGGATATAGATACTATAGCAACCTATGTGAACCAGTCCTACCTCACGGACGAGCAGGAAAGATGGCGACAGAGACTGTCTAGCTACGACAGTTCGTTTGACGGAGACTTCGATCTTCAGTGGCACCACGTGTACGTATGACAGGTGACAAGAATACATATTGATAAAATAAATAGGCCATCACGGGCTAACGTAAGTCTATCATGAGCCATATGTAGCTATACATCTGAGACGCATCATAATTGTTTTGTGCACCGGAAGTGACGTAGGCGAAACTAAAGTATATCGATGTACGTATTTTCTAGACCAATATAAATGCTCATTAATGATATTTTACGGTATTTTGCTGATATTTGGAAAGCAAGATGGGAGGATTTTCAGTTTTATCAATTTGAAGGGTGATTTCGTCATTACCCTTTAACCTTTGAGGTTCCGCTATACTTTTTCAATGTAAACAGATTTAGTACAATTGTTTATTTCGTTCAAATACAGTAATGCGTGTCAGTGGTAAGTATATTCTATAGCTTACTCACTGGAAGAGTGATTTTTTAAAAAAGTCTTTGCTGCACGAAGCCACTATTTAATTAATGCTGGTATTCAAATTAATAACGTAAATTCTACATTCAGTCAAGGGGAAGTACCGCAGGATAATGGCCGGAAGTGGAGTAACCACAGTATACAAGGCGTTGATACCTATGACTATGACCAGTAAGTAGAGAACAACAATGTACTCGTGTTAATATATCGCCAGAGTGTAGAGTTATAAATCACAAATAATGTTACGGTGAAACGTTGTTAATTAATCTTTGTAACTTTTGAAGCAAAAAAAAAATTCCTTCATCTTACGTATACAAACTGGGCATATCTGTACAATTTTTGTTACTCGCTGCCTCGGTTTCGTTTATACAAATATTCTGTAAAATAAACGTCTACTCTTCGTCCTCAGGTACGGCGGTATGCCTGTTATTGGTGAAGGGGACCATATTGATGACGACAGAACCCCGTTTTGATGACAACAGAGCCCCGTTTTGATGACGACAAAACCCCATTTGATGATATCATATATATTCAAATGCCGGGTTCAGGCTATGTCAAAGTTTTAATACACAAGATTCGAGGGCGTCAGATGATTAGGAAGTAAAAAGCGTATACAAGACCATGTGAGATACAAAAAATACTGAGGTTGTGACATGAAGGTTGGAAGAAGTTTAGTTTGAGATCGAAGACGTCATTCTATTAAGACACAGTATTCAAATTGTGATACACAAGATTTGATGACGTCAATCTTATTAAGACACATTATAAAAATTGTTGTGCACAAGACTTGATGACATAAATCTTATGAAGACACAGTATTACAATTGCGGTCACAAGATTTGATGACGTCAATGTTATCAAGATACAGTGTTAACATTGTGGTGCACAAGACTTGATGACGTCAATATTATTAAGACACGGGTTAAAGTTGTAATATGTACAAGACGTACTTGATGACATAAAATGGGTTAGGAGATATTGGAAACGTCGGAGTGACACTACCCAGGACTTCATGTCATAGATGTACAACGCTGCCCTCGTCCTCGTGATAACATTTTTAGAAATGTTTTTTTTTTTCTCTGTGTAACGTTTACTCCGTTGACAGCGACAAACGGATGTGTGGTTATGTGACGTCACATTATTTAATGTGAAACGACATCAAACTGTTATTATTATCGTTTTCTCATTAGCGTCCAATGTTTAATAGAAATATTTACTATAAAAAGGTAAACAGTATGTATAAAGAGATATGTTATTTATATTTAAATTATCAATGTGTCCGTCTTTGTGAGATCTGGATAAAATCACATGTTTTGTAATTAGTATTTACTTGACAATGTTATATATTTTGTGTTCTAGTGTTGAGTGATCTTTTAAACTACAGTGATTAAAACACGTTAAAACTTCTGTCGAAAGTTTGAGATTTTATTTCTCTTCAGTCTCTTTTCCAACCTGGCTGTTTTATCTGGACGAGTTTTTTGGTTCCTTGCGCCTCGCTTGGAATTACCTCACTTTTGGCATGGACGGATATTGTTCTACAAAGTATAATGTTTCTAGGTAAAGTACTGTGCTGGGACTTTCGGCATGATATTTCAGTGAGGTAACACTCTATAGTCGGCATTGATCAGATGCGCGCTACTGTAAGAAGGCAAATACCCCCACAAACCTGCCTCACGCTGACTCACACTTTGGACGCTTTGAGACATGTCGTTAAATTACCTTAGCTATTAATAGGACGTTAACCCATTCTAAAATCAGACTAAACAAAAATGTTCAAAATGTGATTTTGTTGAGAAATGTCTAACAAATTATAAATGTCTTTGTCTTTGCTGTCTTTAAAAGAAGTTTACGAATCCTTATACCTTTTTTTTGGGAATTTCAATCTTTTTAACTATTTACTGATTTAAAATTTGGCATAAAGCTGTCGTTAAGCTAACCATGCTTTGGACAGCTATGCCCAGGTGACATACAGGTTTGCTTTCTCTGACTCTATAGGACGACTTTATATAAACAGGTTTTTGTACTTTAACTTTTAAGTATTAAAATAACATCATTTCATTACTGCATCAGATATGATATGGAGAAGATTTCCATTAAGAGTTATTTTAGATATGCCACAAAAAGGAAGTTTTCTGACGTAGAGTGATCTCCCTTGTCACTGTAACACTGGTGGTAGGTAATCTTGTACCCCGTTCCCGGACCCGGACTGAAACATGTAAAAGAAGATTTAAGCAATATAAAGGAGGTTTTTTGGCTTAGAGTGACATCCCTTGTCATGGTATTCATCTCCCAATTTTTCCATTTGCTTTTTCGACCTATAAGTTAGGATTTCATTTTGGTGATGAGTAGATACTTCCCATTAGCATCGTTATTAAAGTGTAGGACTTGGCAGTGTAAAGTTCCTGTGTTTTTTGTTTTTATTTTATTTTCAAATATTTAAGATTTTAACAATTATGTCTTTAAAATTCATTGCAACATGATTTATATAATTTGTATAGAAATTACTTACACTAATATTTTCATGACAATGACAAATGGCCAAAATATATCCTAACCTTTTCACCCCTATGTGACTTAAGTAGGCTCTACCATGTATTGATATGGGTGTGTCCATTATGGTCTACAGTGGTGAAAGGGTTAATTACTCTTTATTTGATGGTACCCTTAATATAAGGAAGCCTGGAAGCTGGGTACATGTACTACCAAGTTCTATGTAGGAGTGTGGTTAGGACTAGTACTGGGTTTACGTGGAAGCCCGGTACATGTACTACCAAGTTCTATGTAGGAGTGTGGTTAGGACTATAATATATAAGTACCGGGTTTACGTGGAAGCCGGGTACATGTACTACCAAGTTCTATGTCGGAGTGTGGTTAGGACTAGTACTGGGTTTACGTGGAAGCCCGGTACATGTACTACCAAGTTCTATGTAGGAGTTTGGTTAGGACTAGTACTGGGTTTACGTGGAAGCCGGGTACATGTACTACCAAGTTCTATGTAGGAGTGTGGTTAGGACTAGTGCTGGGTTTACGTGGAAGCCGGTTACATGTACTACCAAGTTCCATGTAGGAGTGTGGTTAGGACTAGTGCTGGGTTACGTGGAAGCCGGGTACATGTACTACCAAGTTCTATGTAGGAGTGTGGTTAGGACTAGTGCCGGGTTTGCGTGGAAGCCGGGTACATGTACTACCAAGTTCTATGTAGGAGTGTGGTTAGGACTAGTACCGGGTTTACGTAGAAGCCGGGTACATGTACTACATTATGTACCAAGTTATATGTAGGAGTGTGGTTAGGACTAGTACTGGGTGTAAGAAAGTCAATGCATTACTTTACAAAATAACAAAACTCTGTTGGTGATGTCATTATATTTATTATGAAAATAATGTCAAATATTCATTTAAAAATCATAAAAATGAATTGCATAATATCTCAAATAAAAGACATATAACGTAATTTTATATATCAAATATAGAAATGATAAATTATAATCGTGAAATTGATAACAAATAAGCATCCCTTTCTTTTTCTGGCTATAATATATATACCAAACACCAACTTTCTGTGTAGTTCGCCACCATAGAAGTCAATAACACGGGTTTGGTTCACATCACATCAGATTCACCACCGTGAAGTCTGTAATGGTTTCATTATATATATTCAACCATAACGTTAAGGTATGAAGGTTGTTTATGTAACTTGGCAATTTCAAGGTTTCCTGCCCACAGCTTGGCTAAAGTACAAGGTTATGGTGGTAGGGTTTCTTCCTTTAGCTTGGCTTAAGTACAACATTGTAGATTTTGTGTTATGTTCCAGAACGTGCTGAACAATGTCATACTATCTATATAGTATGATAAAAGAGAAGCAAACATCAGTGATGGGCAATCAGTTTAAAATCATCATCGATAATTGGTTTGTAATCAGAAGTAGTAAACCGTTTGATGATTGATGACACAGTCAGTTTACAATGACTGAATATCCAAATAAAGGGAGAACACTATTTTCACACCAGCAGACAGAGTTGTAAACTATACATAAGGTTTTGTTCTATAATAATGAATGGATTTCCAGCATCTTTTATGCAGTTTTGTCAATAATATAATAAACAACGATAAGAACAAAGGACTTTCAATGGACACTTTGCATTGTATACATTTGACATTTTGATTTCAATAATGAACCAATTATATTGATTTCCTGGTATGGAATTTGTAATCGCTAATCGGAAAGGGCAAACAAATATTTTTCCTGATTATAATTGATCATCAGGCCATCAGCACCAGAATATAATGAACATTTGGATGCAGGGGATTCCCTTAAAAGCTATATTTAGAAATGCAGGGGATTCCTTTAAAAGATATATTTAGAAATACAAATCTAACAGAAAACCGGCTTACAGTTGTTTTAGAAAACTGATCATGCCCTGGCCAATTGGACTGCCACCAATATTGAAGTACCTACAAAATACCTTACAATGTGTAACTAAATTCTTAATCACCAACTCAATTCCTCCGAAAGTTCTTAGCCAGAAATCTCAAATATCTAAAATCACCAATAAATAAGTTCGTAATCATCAACTCAATTAATTCTAAAAATCTCACTGATGTATTTACAGTGTAATCTACGTACAGTACAAAGTGTACTACAGACTTCCAACAACAAGTACATTTGGCAACTGTGTTCAATCTCAGAGTGGCATCAATGAAATGGTGTGAAGACAGTATCTGATATCCACACTGGTATACACTGTGGTTGTATCTAAATGACAACACTTGTACCTGTGAATTAGTGAATACATGTGTATATGGTATTCAATCCAGGAATGGCAACAACATAGTCTGTCAAGACAGTAATAATATCAAAACAGCTATACACTGTAGCTGTGAATACTGTAATTCATCTCCAAATGACAACACCTACACCTGTGAATATACCGTATTCAATCCCAGAATAGCAATATCACACCACAACAGGTTAAGGTGAATACTGTATTCAATCTAAGAAATGGTAACACCTAGCTGTGAATAAACAGTATTCAATCCCAGAATGGCAACACTTATCTGTGAATAAACAGTATTCAATCCCAGAATGGCAACAACTATCTGTGAATATACAGTATTCAATACCAGAATGGCAACACTTATCTGTGAACATACAGTATTCAATACCAGAATGGCAACACCTATCTGTGAATATACAGTATTCAATACCAGAATGGCAACACCTGTCTGTGAATATACAGTATTCAATACCAGAATGGCAACACCTATCTGTGAATATACAGTATTCAATCCCAGAATGGCAACACCTTTCTGTTAATAAACAGTATTCAATACCAGAATGGCAACACCTATCTGGGAATATACAGTATTCAATCCCAGAATGGCAACACTTATCTGTGAATATACAGTATTCAATCCTAAAATGGCAACACCTATCTGTGAATATACAGTATTCAATACCAGAATGGCAACACCTGTCTGTGAATATACAGTATTCAATACCAGAATGGCAACACTTATATGTGAATATACAGTATTCAATCCTAGAATGGCAACACCTATCTGTGAATATGCAGTATTCAATAGCAGAAAGGCAACACCTGTCTGTGAATATACAGTATTCAATACCAGAATAGCAACACATATCTGTGGATATACAGTATTCAATCCTAGAATGGCAACACCTATCTGTGAATTTTGGTTTTCAATACTAGAATGGTAACACCTATCTTTGAATATACAGTATTCAGTCCCAAAATGGCAACATCATACAATAACTGTTTTAACACCTATAATGTAAATACAGTAATCAATCCTGGAATAACAACATCATTAGTAACAGCTTAATGTGAATATTGTATTCAATCTCAGAATGGCAACACCTATTATATGTGAATACTGTATTCAATACCAGAATGGTTACACCAATAAGTTGTGAGAACAAAGTATTCAGTATAAGAAATGCTACAAGTACAACCACAGCTGTGAATCTTGTAATAAATCACCACTGAAACACATTAAATCAGATACTATGAATATTGTATTCAAACTCAGACTGGTAACACCATTTAGCTGTGAGAACACAGTATTCAACTTCAGAAAATGGCAACATTGCATCTTGTTATTTTTTTTTTGCTGCAGTTGATATCAAAATGAATACACAATACTGCTGTGAATATCAAATTTAATATCTAATGGTTGAATTTCATTGCACTGAATACTGTAAGAAAGTATGAATGACGACCTGACATACCTGTCAACAAGGTATTCATTATCATGATGGCCACGCACTACCTCTGCACAAACAGATTCAACTGAAGGAAGGTCACAAGCTTTATCAATACATACAGTATTTACTAGGGGTACAGCGATACATTAACATAACAATACAATACATATCACGATACGATACATATCATAATACATACAGTATTTACTAGGGCTGCAGCGATACATTAACATCACGATACGATACGTATCCCGATACGATACGTATCCCGATACATGTATAATAGTAACAGTAGGATCAAAGCGAACATGTATGTTACATAGGTTTTAATGGCAATATTACACCTGGAAACAGACTTGTTCCAAAATGGGCATGACTTTAAAGTTTCATACAATTCACGTCTTTCGACGTGCATGCCGAGCTGGACCTGTCACTCGCCATGTTTGAATGGATATGATTAGACTAAATACAGACACAACAAAACCAGAAAAATATCGTAGGTGTATTGTGACCTCCACAAAAATAATGTGTATCATACCGTATTCAAAATACTGCGATATCTCTTTGTACAATAAATCATTGCAGCCCTAGTATTTATTCTCAGTATTATGTTGTATACCTATCTAGTATTAACGACAGTATGTTTCAAAATATATATTGGCACTGGAATCCAAACAAACCTCCTCGATGGATACATATAATTTGTGTATTATCTACTAATATATGAGCATAATATCTAAACTTATAAGCCCACAAACATTACTATTCTTATCAGAGATAGCAGACAACCTTCTTGACATTACCCAGATAAGTATGCAGTGTAGTACATCGTACATTTAATTTACTTCCTCGAGTCCAGGAGGCCTACACCCACGAGCCTTGTACAGGTCCAGATTACATGTATACTACAGGGATCACACAGCATCCGTATCTTCTAACAAAGCTATGGGAATTTCATAGACTGGTTACCAGCACCCAAAGTTTTTATGAAGGGTTTCCTGGCTACATTTCACTTCTAGTTTATCTCCCTCTAGTTTAGAACTCTAGAATCAGACATACAAGTGATAACAAATATTAAAGTTATTTTTTTTCTCTAAATGATTCAATATTCTGAAGACGAGGCCAGTCTAGGAATTTCATGGCATTGACAAAATTTGGTGTTGTGCAACCTTGAATTATCTGAATATTAATTATCTCCCTTGAAAAAGCATCATAAAAAAATGCATACAACATGCAATGACGGTCGCTTGTTGAAATGAAAACAATATTGTAAAATACTGTAAAGCAATAATGGGATGAATATATCAACATGTAAACCAATCCAAGCATTAACAAACCAGCAGACCCAGAGGATCAATGTAATAATAGCTTTCTCCATTCAAAATCCTTTTAATCTTTTATAATAACTTGATTTAAAAATAATACATTTATGAGTTATTGCTTTAACTTACAAAATAGCATACATCAGTTTACTTATGTGTGATGCAGCAAATTTTATGAATTTGTACGAAATCAAATTTGTGTTTTCATTTTTGTTTGGGGTGAAAGTTAATTTACTAATTTGTTTGAAATAAAATGTTTATATTCAACTTTGTGCATTTTTTTATGTCTATACTTAATGTCAATGCGGTAATAGGCCCACCCATATCGACTGCAGTTCAGTAGTACAAACATGTAGCGAAACTGGACTGGGTAGATTGTCGACGACCAGGTAGCTCAATAGGTACAGCATCCGTCCAAAGTTTAGAGCATCTCGGGTTTGCATCCCGGTCTGGCAATGTATTTTTCCACTTCTACTACAAACATTTGCTATAGAATTATCCTGTAACAAGCCCACCCCCTACTATAGAATTATCCTGTAACAAGCCCATCCCCTACTATAGAATCATCCTGTAACAAGCCCATCCCCTACTATAGAATTATCCTGTAACAAGCACATTCCCTACTTTGATTAAATGATTGCTTATTGCAGGATAAACACAGAAATGTAGATTTGTGCTCTATCACAACTAACTACATCATAAATGCATTTTCAAAGTAAAAGTAGAGATTTCTGCCAACTGTCATTGACTGATAAATGTGAACTGACAGACTCAGGGAGAAAAAAGGACTGGATTGGTTCCCTTTATCAAATTATCTCCCCTGTAGTGAGAGTTAAACTGAAATAGATTCCCGATCCAAAAAGGATTTGATAGAACTAGATTTAGGAGCAGAATCTGATACAAAAGATTTCAACTCAATCACTGAAAGAGCTTTAGGATCAGTATTTGGTGCAGAAAAGTTTGACTCAATCACTAAAGAGCTTTAGGATCAGTATTTGGTGCAGAAAAGTTTGACTCAATCACTAAAGAACTTGAGGAGGGGAATTTGACAGAGACAAGTTTGACTCAATAACTTAACAATTTTTCAGAAAGGTATTTGACAGAAGTGAGTTGGGTTGGTAATGGGTTTAAAGTCCTATTAACAGAAGCTAAGGTCGTTAAAGGACATGCCTCCTTATGTGTAATGTCTGCTAGAGGCTGTATATATTGGTGACGAGAGTTTTAAACCATGTCATATGTTTGGTTTGTTTGTGTTTTACATTATGTTAACAGCTATGGTCATTTAAGGATGTGCCAGGTTTTTGGTAGTTGAGGAAAGCCAGAGCTCTCGGAGAAAACCACCGACCTACGGCCAAAACCTGGCGACTGCCCCACCTGGGTTTCGAACCTGCGACCCAGTGGTGGAGGGCTAGTGGTAGCAGAATGTCAGACGCCTTAACCACTTTACATGTGACAGAAAAATAATAATGTAAAAAAAGGCATTTAAAAAATAGTGATATATATATATAATAAGATATTATATATACAATATTGAATTGGATGTACACAAAAATGTATCAAATAATAATTTAGAAAAATATGATACAATGTTACATAATGATATATGTTTTAGTATATTTATAGTAAACTGACAGTACTCCTACAGTTCTGTATTCACTAGCACTGAATCGAGAGGTTAAGCATTATACGTTTTAATTCAGGGATAACTAGGATAACCATTCAACTAGGTATATGTATAAATAAAGCTATAAGCTATCAGAGAAATAAACATATTAATTAACATATCCAAAAAAAGTTCCCATTAAAATAAAAAATTCTAAAAAAAAAGATGGTTAAGCAGTAAAATTAAATGTCTGATACATTGTTTACCCTTCTGTGATAATATCATAGGTACAGAACACACAGTTATAATATCACCAGGCTGTATAACAATAAAACAAAAGCAATGTATACTCTATTGCTCCTGTTATCTAGAGATTTGGCTTGTCTATGTTTTATGTCCTATAAACAACTATGGCCGTTTAAGGACGTGCCAGGTTTTGTTGGTGGAGACTTGTTGCCAGTACCAGGTCAATGTCCCACATACAGTAGGCCTTGGATCTGTTACCAAGTGGGAGAGAGTTAGCGATAGTAGACAGTCTGACACCTTAACCACTTGGCTGCAGGGCCCATTGGTGGAGGGCTAGTGATTGAAGACGGTCAGATACCTAAACCACTCGGCCACGGGGCTCATTGGTGGAAGGTTAACTATCCTAGACTGTCAGATACCTAAACCACTCGGCCACGGGGGCCCATTAGTGGAAGGTTAGCGATCCTAGACTGTTAGATACCTTAACCACTTGGCCACGGGGGCCCATTGGTGGAAGGTTAGCGATCCTAGGCTGTCAGATACTTAAACCACTTGGCCACGGGGGCCCATTGGGGGAAGGTTAGCTATCCTAGACTGTCAGATACCTAAACCACATGGCCACGGGGGCCCATTGGTGGAAGGGTAGCGATCCTAGACTGTCAGATACCTAAACCCCTTGGCCACGGGGGCCCATTGGTGGAAGGTTAGCTATCCTAGACTGTCAGATACCTAAACCACTTGGCCACGGGGGCCCATTGGTGGAAGGTTAGCTATCCTAGACTGTCAGATACCTAAACCACATGGCCACGGGGGCCCATTGGTGGAAGGTTAGCGATCCTAGACTGTCAGATATCTAAACCACTTGGCCACGGGGGCCCATTGGTGGAAGGTTAGCTATCATAGACTGTCAGATACCTAAACCACTTGGCCACAGGGGCCCAATGGTAGAGGGCTAGTGAATGTAGACAGTAGGATGCCTAAACCACTTGGCAACAGGGGCCCAGTGGTGGAAGGCTAGTGATTGTAGATGGTCAAGCGCCTAATTAATCACTCAGCCACTGCGACCTCTTGTTTTTACAGATTTCATATCACACATAGCAAAACATGTGTACCTGTACAAAATCATTAAAAAATCTTTCTACAAAATACACCTACTTCATAAGTATGAGACTTGTGAATTCTTAGGCCTTATAAGTAAGTCAAAAGCAAAACAATAACAAGTGGTCTATTTATGCTAAAAAATGGATGTTCAAATCAATGTCATATTATTTAATGTGTGACACAGTAAAACTTGGGACCTAATTTTCAGCTTTTCATTTACTGAAACAATGTGTTTTAAAAGAAACAAATGTGTGTATATTTTACTCCTGGTTAAAATCTACATAACTCATTCACCCCTGAAGACACATTTGAACTCATCCAATTCAAAGGACGGAATAGTTCATTATAAATTTTCAGGGGTGAATGAGTCAAGCTCATTAGGAATTAACAGTTAGACCTGAAAATGTTTGAGCAATTCATGTCAGATAATCATTTTGGAATCAAATCTTTGGCTTTCTCCACAAGCTTTTGTAATAGTCCTGTTTTCTTAATAGAACAAATAACAATTTCCCTTGTGAGCTGGTGGTAAATTGTCGGGACCATCTTCATTGCGTTGTACTTTGGATCGTCTGTGTTAGTTTCTTTGAGGGAAACATCCTGTGATACCTCAGTAAGGAGGGTAAGAAAGTCTCGGTGGCAGATTTCACCGTTGCGTATGTAATGTTTGAAGACATTGTAGAGGTTCGCTAACAGCCAGCCTCCTTCTGTAGTGCTTCTCCATGCCAGTTTACCTGTGAAATAAAATGTACAACTAATATTAGTATTTTATATTATACACAGAGAGTCCCCTTTGAAATGATCCTCTATTCCAGCTTACAAATACATGAAGTCTGGTCCACAAGGGCACGCAACTACGAATAATATTGATCTTGTTAGACATTCAGCCACTGGATACGTGGCACCCAACTACGAATAATATTGATCTTGTTAGACATTCACCTACTGGATACGTGGCATGCAAGAACTAATAATATTGATCTTGTTAGACATTCACCTACTGGATACGTGGAACACAAGTACTAATAATATTGATCTTGTTAGACATTCGCCTACTGGATACGTGGCATGCAAGAACTAATAATATTGATCTTGTTAGACATTCAGCCACTGGATATGTGGCACCCAAGTACTAATAATATTGATCTTGTTAGACATTCAGCCACTGGATATGTGGAACCCAAGTACTAAAAATATTGATCTTGTTAGACATTCAGCCACTAGATATGTGGCACCCAAGTACTAATAATATTGATCTTGTCAGACATTCAGCCACTGGATACGTGGCACCCAACTACGAATAATATTGATCTTGTTAGACATTCACCTCCTGGATACGTGGCACGCAAGTACTAATAATATTGATCTTGTTAGACATTAACCTACTGGATACGTGGCACGCAAGTACTAATAATATTGGTCTTGTTCGACATTCAGCTACTGGATATGTGGCACGCAAGTACTAATAATATTGATCTTTTTAGACATTCAGCCACTGGATACGTGGCACGCAAGTACTAATAATATTGATCTTGTTAGACACTCACCTACTGGATACGTGGCACGCAAGAACTAATAATATTGATCTTGTTCGACATTCACCTACTGGATAGGTGGCACGCAAGAACTAATAATATTGATCTTGTTAGACATTCACCTACTGGATACGTGGCACGCAAGAACTAATAATATTGATCTTGTTCGACATTCACCTACTGGATAGGTGGCACGCAAGAACTAATAATATTGATCTTGTACGACATTCACCTACTGGATAGGTGGCACGCAAGAACTAATAATATTGATCTTGTTAGACATTCACCTACTGGATAGGTGGCACTCAAGTACTAATAATATTGATCTTGTTAGACATTCAGCCACTGGATACGTGGCACGCAAGTACTGATACTATTGATCTTGTTACACATTCAGCCACTGGATACGTGGCACGCAAGTACTAATAATATTGATCTTGTTAGACATTCAGCCACTGGATACGTGGCACGTAAGAACTAATAATATCGATCTTGTTAGACATTACGTCGCATGATACATATAGGATATAAGGAATGTCTAACAAGGTCAATATTATTATATGGGTTGCATGTCCCTGTGTCTGGTCCATGGCTGAGTTAAACATCAACACTGTACAAGTTCAGTAAACATATTTCTGAACATTTTCTTTGGTTTGGTAAATATGGATTGTGAAACAGGTCACAGATATGGTGGTTCTGTTGTATTTACATGGTGAATGTTAGCATTTCTAAAGAAGGTGAGATTTTTGAGACCGTCTTTTGAGAAGTTTACCTGTGGTATATTTACCTAGGATATGTAAGTAATAACAGTTTACCTGTGATATATTTACCTAGGATATGTAGGTTACAACAGTTTACCAGTGGTATATTTACCTAGGATATGTAAGTAATAACAGTTTACCTAAGATATATATACCTACTCTATGTAGGTAACAACAGTTTATCTGTGATATATTTACCTAAGATATATATAACAACAGTTTACCTGTGATATATTTACCTAGGATATATATAACAACAGTTTACCTGTGATATGTTTACCTACGATATATATAACAACAGTTTACCTATGGTTTATTCACCTACAATATATATAACAACAGTTTACCTGTGGTTTATTCACCTACAACATGTATGACAACAGTTTACCTGTGATATATTTACCTACCATATGTAGGTAACAACAGTTTACCTGTGATATATTTACCTATCATATGTAGGTAACAACAGTTTACCTGTGATATATTTACCTATCATATGTAGGTAACAACAGTTTACCTGTGATATATTTACCTACCATATGTAGGTAACAACAGTTTACCTGTGATATATTTACCTATCATATGTAGGTAACAACAGTTTACCTATGGTATATTTCCCTATCATATGTAGGTAACAGTTTACCTGTGGTATATTTACCTGTGATGACTTACCTATGATATGTAAGTAACAACAGTTTATCTGTGGTATATTTACCTACCATATGTAAGTAACAACAGTTTACCTGTGATATATTTACCTACGATTTGTAAGTAACAACAGTTTACCTGTGGTATATTTACCTACGATATGTAAGTAACAACAGTTTACCTGTGGTATATTTACCTACCATATGTAGGTAACAACAGTTTATCGGTGGTATATGTACCTACCATATGTAGGTAACAACAGTTTACCTGTGGTACATTTACCTACGATATGTAGGTAAGAACAGTTTACCTGTGGTATATTTACCTACCATATATAAGTAACATCAGTTTATCTGTGGTATATTTACCTGGTGGGGAGGCGAACATCACCAGCATGTCATCGTGACAAGGGATGGCGGTAACTTCCACGCTCTCTATTTCCTGTATGCTTGTGTCCACCCTTGGTTTCCTTCCTCCGGCGTCGGCCTGATCAGTGGGCGTATCTTCAGGTGTTATCGCCTCAATGTGTTGGATTCCTGGCAAAACGTCACCTTCAGGAACAACGCCTTTGTATTGTTTGGTGTATGATGACCTGTCCCTGTTTCTGACGTCATCATGTCCCGTCTGTGTGAAATAAAACACAATCTGTACAACACTGACACTAGGGGGGTTGAAGCTTGCTCCTTTCAATGATTTGCAAGAGATAAGAAAATTCTCCTACTGATTTATAGACTCTTTAGCAAAACTAAATGTTCTTTTAATCAAACATCTCATGCATGAATATAACAAATGAAATTGTTTTTCTAATATCAAGATGTTCCCCAGTGACTATATCTACCGGCTATGGTTTCTAGGGAAGTGCTGACATTTTAGATTGTGCTAGCTTGGTAACGAGAAGGGGGCTCACTGGGTATAAAAAGTGCATTACCTGTCAAACCGGTTATCATTCTACTACAGACCGTCTTGCAATTCAATATACTATACGTATACACTGCCATTGGTAACCAATATCAAAAACCAGACCTAGGGAGATCCATACTAATTACCAAGCAAGTACATTTTCAAATGTTGGCGCTTCCTTAGAAACAACAGCCGGAGTGTAAGTCACTGAGGGACATCTAAAAACAAGAAAAAAACTGCATTTCTTTTAATCTGGATTAAAAGCTTTTTAACTTGCATCGTCAGCCTCAGGTACAACATCTTGATGGATATATACATGTATATCAATGTTGTTTTTTCAGCAGCAAAGAATCTACTAACAGAAATTTGTAATTGAAGGATACTGAGCAGTAAAGAATCTACTAACAGAAATCTGTAATTGAAGGATTCTGAGTAGCAAAGAATCTTCTAACAGAAATTTGTAATTGAAGGATATTGAGCAGCAAAGAATCTTCTAACAGAAATTTGTAATTGAAGGATACTGAGCAGCAAAGAATCTACTAACAGAAATTTGTAATTGAAGGATACTGAGCAGCAAAGAATCTGCTAACAGGAATTTGTAATTGAAGGATACTGAGCAGCAAAGAATCTACTAACAGAAATTTAAATTGTAATTGAAGGATACTGAGTAGTAAAGAATCTACTAACAGAAATTTGTAATTGAAGGATACTTTAAGTGGCATATTGTTAAAACATGCATTTTGCTAGTAGATATGTGTTAGTTTCAAACCTTGCATCATTAATGATTAAAGCTTTATTCACAATCAGGAGAACTATTGCTTTGACAAACTCCATTCTTTTCTAAGATTTTGAATACACAACAATTTTCTTTTGATCAAATTGAATTGAGACAGCAATAAACCGATGAGAATGTATAGGTCAGCAACGTCCCGCCATGTCCCTGATCATTATCCCAGCCCTCCCCCTACCCCACCCATTGTATACTTTATTTTCCCAGCCCCCCCC